ATGTAAGGCACCCATTACCTTCAATGATGCATTAAGCTTCCTAATGATGGAGCCACAGTAATGGAGCTAACTAATGACCGGACTTAAGAAAGAACATATTCTAATAGCTGGAGCAGAACTGGAGGGAAAGTCAAGGTGTCAGGGAGGAGAAGGAATTAGATCCTCAGACGGCTGCATGGAGGAGACGTAATGACTGAGGTCAGGCTGCGAATACAAAAGATTAACAGGCTTAATACAATAACCTTTTAAGTAAAACATATTTCTTCAGTTAAGTTAGGATAGGATTAATTAAATAATTCAGGGTATATGTGCATGGAAATTGAATTAACACGCAGAAAAAAGGTACATTCAAGTAGAACACCTTTACAGTGATGCTGCCGGTGGTGGGAAATAATGAGAACACACAGGGCTCATGATCCGGTGGAATCACTGTTTTATCCGAGTTGTGCTGCAAACCTCTCAGACAATAAGCTGTCAAAACACATTTCAAAGAAGATTTGTTTTGCTGCTGGCCTTAAACCCTTCGATTTCCAAAACGTCCACTTTTCAGACAGATGGGAAAACAGCACTGATTTCAAACTGATCACTTTGCTTTTATGGATCGTCGGCATTTTATTCATTTTAGTCGATGTGCAAATGTGTCAATCAGGAAATCACTATAGAGTTAAACCACACCTGGGGAATTTTTAAAAAGTTGTTTTGGCACCATATATATTGGCTGATAGTCCAAAAAATATCTGTAAATATGCATATATGATATGGGCACATACATATCTTCTTTCAAAGGTCTTTTTATTGAAAGATAATAACAGAAAATAGCTTTTACTGTACAGGGAAATATTTTTCTTTTCTTCCCCCCACCCACCCTTAACAAAAACACTCATGCATGTCGCAAAACATCCAAACATGAGACAAGCCTAATCCAGACGACAAACAACCACAGCTGTACCTAGAAGTCACATTCTGAATAATAAAAGGTCAAGGTCAACAATAAACACATCTGTACAGATAAGGGCAGTCCTTCCTGTGAACTCTAAAGGAAGCCGAGTTGCATTTAAGAGTTATGTTGGTATATTGGCACATACATGTCTTGTGTGCATATTTTCATTCTGCATCAGCAGTGCCAGGCCGTTTGTTGTCTTTGTGAGATGTTTATAGCTTCCACCTTTAAATCAATTAGGTGGCTAATCAGCAATGAAGTCACATAATGGACTAAGAATTTCAGCGAAACAGTCAATATTTATGGCCTCTTTGTTACCAGGAAAGGATGTGTGTTTTTATTGGGTATTGAACCACCAGGACATGAATAACAATGTAGTAAAAAGTTCAAAGAGGCAATGAGCTGCAGTGTGACACTTTCAGACATTTCTTTAACTCTCAGTAAGTTTGATTGATAGAACCAACAAACAGAATTAGTTTTTAAAAGTTAACAAGTCAACCCATTGAAGCTATTATGCTGTGTTTTTTTCTTCTTCATGAAGAAATGTTCTTTTCTTTTTCTTCTTAATTTTCTTTTCATTTTGATTGACACAAGATACTGATCTTACAGTTGATGAACCTCTTATACCTCTATTTTTAAGCAGAGGTAGTTCCCACGTTCTGTTTCTCTTGATTACAAGTGAAACGAGCATCCTGAACACAGCACACCTGAGCGTGGGGTCAATATTAACAGCAGCAGTAATGAGACGTTTTCATGCTGCTGAGACTCTGAACACCACTCTGATAATGACACCTATTGTGACTTTCGTTGCTTTTTTTAATAACCTCCCATCCACCACCTAACGCACGCACACACACACACACACACACACACACACACACACACACACACACACACACACACACACACACACACACACACACACACACACACTCTCTCTCTCTCTCTCTCTCCACACCCTCCGTGACACACGCCTCTTCCTCCTCATTAAGGAAATGGCTCTTCTTTGCTGATTATTTTATTTGAAAGCCGTGATTACCGCTCCGTGCTGCAGATCACGCGGTAACGGAGAGCAGGCGGAGAGCACGAGAAGGGCAGAGGCTCTAATTGGGGCATGAGATGCGCCGGATGGTGCAGCAGAGCTGGGTGTCCGGAGAGGGGAGCCTGTAATGGGTTTGCCTGCCTGTGGCTCTCCTCTCTGCATCTATCCTGCTCGGATACAGCACACTGATGAACCTGCTTCTTATTCCTCCTCCTGTCATCAAACCAGCTGCCCAAAATCACACGTGATTCTGTTAGAGAGCCGCTTGTGCACATTGGAAAATCGATTTCCTTTTAAGATTTCTAACTGAGTGATGTAGATGCTTACTAAGCGCTGCAGTAGGCCTGGAACATAAGAAAGAAGCAATTCTCCTGCTGCCCCCTGTTACCATGTGTTTGTGCTGTAAGAGATCTTATTCCTTCACGTGCCTGTTGTCTTTTGTGTTATTTTAACCTGTTCTGCAAAGGCCCACATATGAGCAATGGATTTAACGCACTTTGATTGCTAAAAAAGCGCGGAGAGGGCGGACACGGAATTCTTGATCTCTGAAATTGCTCTACAAAATTGCATTTGTTTTTGGTGCGCTTCCATTAAAAGTGTCTCCTCGCGTGTAAACAGCCGTTCCGCACTCAGATGCGCCGCATTAACCCGCGAGGATTGTGTGTGAGTGTGTTTTCACTGCGGGAAGATTGATGCGGTCCAGTTAGGGAGGCTGAGTGAGACATAGACCCATTTCATGTGGGTTCCTCTTATTACAGAGATAAGTTAGAGCACGAGGAGCGGACAGCTGAGGGGAGATCTGCTATCAGACTGTTTGCACTGCAACACAACACAATATCAATATTGATCATGAGAGCTGTACTAGACAACTATAGAGGTTGGATTTTAAAACATCCCTTATCTCATGTAAATATGAAGTCCAAATATACAAATAGGCCTACATATAAGCAATTTTAACTGCACTGAGCGACTAATAATGAAACTAATCCAAACTAATTTTTTTTGGTTATGATTTTGCTGTAAATAAACAAATGTGGAATTTTTTTTTTCTGGAGAAAAATGTATTTCTTCAGAAAAATAAAATTTCAAATGAAAAAAATATGAATTTATTGAAATACGATAAAATAAAAAAAAAAAAAAACTTATTAAGAACACAAGATTATTACAATATTTATATTATAGGCTACATCATTGATATTTTGTAACAAACAAACAAAACAGTAATGGTTACGAAATGGTATTATGCAAGCTCTTTTATTTTTTTTAAAAAGCAAAAAATACGACCATTTACAATCAGCATCATATAAACTAGCTGAAGGTGTTAAATAAACCTGGATTGGAATTAAAGTAATTTAAAACAATATTGGCTTAATTGTTGATTTCAGATTATTACATTTATTTTAAAAGTATAACAAATATCCATATGTACATTTTGTGGAACAATAATTTATATCTAAGCAAAATAAAATAAAAACTTGTACTTTCTATGGCTATATCAAAATTAAGTAATTTCACCACTTCTGTTAATGCTTGCATAAACTGGATATCCAACAACTTCTGGAGCATACAGACCGTGTTATCTCTTCAGGCTAAAAGCTCTTCACAAAAGCAGACTTGGCCTTTACATCTCCCAACACAGACTCCCCCTCTCCTCCCTCTTACTTTTCACTTCTGAACCAAACAAGTCCACACTCTGCTGCTGCTGATTTCTTCCCCTGAACCTTTCGCTGCCTGCTCCCAGCTTCCCTCCTCTCAGTGGACCATGCTCCGGTCCATTTCCTTGGGTTTTCACGCTGTGCCACATGTAGGCTTTACTTCCCCATGTCCCGGTAGAGGAGCATAAAAGATGAGCTGCAGAAGGAAGAGGAGGAGGAGAGAGGAGTCCTCGCTCGGACGCCTTCTTTGTGCGGCTGCAGAGAAACCCATTTAGTCCCAGGCGGTGGTCTATTCAGCGGACTCACCCTGACATCTGCCAAAAGCCTCCTCTAACCAGCACTGTCTGGAGGAGTAGATCAATGGCTGTCCTGTTAATTGTATAATAGACCTACTTATGGACCTCTGCTAGAGGGGCACAATCGTTTAGGGTCCACCACGTCTGATTTTGTGGGAGCCAAACAGGCCTAAATACCTTTAATTGCACGCTCCTTGATGAAAAGTCGATGGAAGTTAAAGCGGCCGATCACTAACACAGCTTAAATCCATCTGTACTCGTTTATTTATTTATTTCCTCCATTTGTCTCCACAAATCACCTGCCAGGGGGGAATGGGAGCGATATTCGTTTTGTTTGTGATCCAAGGACGGGAGGGAAGATGGGCTCAGGGGTCCTGGAAGGGTTCTTCATCTACAACATTTCTTTTCTTTTATGACTTAAGTCCACACTGTGATCCGAGCAGACTTCACACAGTCTGCTTCGTTTCCAATAGTTAAGAAATGCAATATTAATTTAAGGTTATTATCTTGAAATTCGTCTTAATGTTATTTTCTTTTGGTTAATTTGGGAAATGAATTCTCCTTTTCTGGTTAATCTTTGTAAACAGGCTCATTGACACAGACCAGTGGTTTGAGAATTGAGATTTTGACATGCTTGTTTACTTAATGGAAATACATTTTCTGACTGAAATATTTGTAAACTCCTATATCTCTCTCACAAAAAACAAAACAATCCTGTGCACGACCTGCAGTATTTTACAAGTATATCCATCTCCAAACAGCAGTCTTGTTGTCATAGCGCCAATACATATACGAGTTTAAACAAACACATTAAGGTGTTTAACGTGGAATAATTTAAGCATGAAAAGCTAATAAATCAGAGGACTGAATGGCACAGGATTGAATTGAATTGTAGTGTTTCCGTGCGCGTATGGGTCTGCGCGCGCATGCTATAGGTGCTTGCGTAAAAGAGTTGAGGAAAAAAAAAAAAAGAGGGGGGAGTCACGTCGCTGACATTTCCAGGCTCCCGTTCTGATTGGCTCTTATTTGAGGAAGCTCACGGGTTCTTTCAACTAATAAGCACCTCCCCGTCGCTCTAAAGGACATTATAATGCAAGGGACCTCCTTTTTTTAACCACAAACCGAATTTTCGTTCATTTAGACGATATATACTTTTTAAATTGCCCCAAAGTTGTGGGATTTTTTTGGAGCGCTGTTCGCCCTGGAGCGGTACGCCATGCTCTCTCACGCCGACCTCCTGGATGCTCGGCTCGGTGAGTTATCGTCACTAAACTCCGGCCCTAAACTCCAGTGTAAGACTTCAACTTCTTATTTCACATTGTACAATGATAAATAGACTGTGTGCTTAATTGTGTTTACAGCTAAATGGTTTATTGTTTCTAGCAGCTATTCTTTAATAATCTTAATTTATCCGGGATGATTTGACAGCAAAGATTTACGTCTCAAGCTGCATTGACTTTATTCGTTTTATTTGAATGGATCTGTTTGTCATGAAGCAACAAAGTTATATCATGTAACCCTCATTTAAAGATACTGTGCGTTTAGATTCTCCATGTATTCACTCTCTTCCTCGTCCTCTCAGGGATGAAGGATGCTGCAGAGTTACTCGGACACAGAGAAGCTCTCAAGTGCCGGCTAGGTGGAGGGGTGCAGGACCAGGGGCATCCGGGAGACATGGCCCCTGGTTCAGACTCTGTGGAGGGCACCACTATGCTGCCGGGAGAAGACATCTCCTCTGTGGGATCGAACTCTGGCGGCATGCCGGTGAACGGGAAAGAGACGGAGAAGCAGCAGCAGCCGCAGCAGAGCTCCAGCCAGACCTCTAGCCAGCAGAAACAGAAGCGGCACAGGACGCGCTTCACTCCGGCGCAGCTCAACGAGCTGGAGCGCAGCTTCGCCAAAACCCACTATCCTGATATCTTCATGAGGGAGGAGCTGGCGCTGAGGATCGGACTAACCGAGTCCAGAGTTCAGGTAAACTCAAGTTCTGTGTGGATCATATTAGAGGATGAAACACCGGCAGGGTGTGGCTATAGTCCAGATTTGATCTTGTGGGTTTTCAGCATCATTAAAATGTCTTAAATATAAATGTTTAAATCCAACTGGAAGGGATTGAGCAAAATAGATTCAGTTTAGGAAATAGTAGTAGTAGTATAGTTGTTTTCTCTTTGCGTTAAGGTTGTTGGTCAAATATTTGGCCATTAGATGTTCTGTATTTGTGCAAATGCTTGGACACGAAACGTCAAGTTCAAAGTGCAAGAATAACTTCATAATATCTTATTTGTACATGTAGAAACAGATCTGTATCTTGAACAAGAAACCTCGCATGAAAAAACATCTTCGTGGGCGAAACACACACACACACACACACACACACACACACACACACACACAAACTAGCCTTGTTATAATTATTCCATTGGTGTATTGCAAAACATTAATTTCGTCATATAACATTTCTTGATGGTAAGCAATATGAGTTTTAAGGAGCAGTGCAAAGTGCTCTGTCCAAGGTTCTGAAACACTTCTCACCTATGAAGAGCGATCAGGAAACAAGAGCTCACAATAGTTCTAAATATTCAGGTGGCTTAAACATTATTCAGTCAGCATTTAAAACGCAGCCTGCAGTGACTGCCCATTCCAGTAATGTACTAATGTTTGTAAAAATTCTTAATTTCTCTTTGTTTTTCTTTTTTTAAAAAGCTATTTTTCCATTTGTTTCTGCAGTTGTTTTAAATCACATAGGTGTCATCCACAATTATATTCTTTAACGTTTTTTTTGTAAACAAAACTAATTAAAATGGTGTAACACTGGCTGAAATAATTCCTAAAAGTTACAGAGTGCATCTGTAAAGTACGTTTACAAATTATGGCACCCATTTAACCCAATTATTAAGATGAGAATGTATTGATCACTGATTTTTTATTTACCATTTTAGTAAAAAAAAAAAAAAAAATTGATAATGAAATCTTTTTGAACAAAAACGATGTGAAACAATTACAACATGGTATTATTGAACATAACAGGCTCTAATAAACCAAACACATTATCCACCAATTTCAGTCTTATTTAGAACAGTGAACGGGTTATTAAGCAGTGATGTGAAATTCATGTAAATGAGCCCAGTGAAAGCAATAAAAAGCAGTTTCATCATTAGTCACCTTAATAATCAATCCTTTATTCTATCTCGTGCAGCAGCTAACCGCTCAGTGCAGCTCGGCTCGCGCTCGCTGTTTGTAAACATTAGTGCAGGCACGTGCAGGTGCAGCCTTCAGTGGGCGTGTTTGCCCGCGTGCGTGCCTCCACAACCTCTCTATTTCTAAAATGCTCCATCAGCGACGTCTTAATAGGACTCAAGAATATATCGTACTTTTTTTAATGGAATGAGAAATTGCATTTTCTTTCCCCTCGAGTGTAATGGGTTTGGGCGACGTTTCACGGATGGCTGAGCGGAATGAGAGCGAGGTTTCACTTTTAATACGGAGGCATTGGCTCACGGCCTCGCGCGCGCATTAATCACGGCCGAAGATGATGAAATCTTCAGAAAGACCAACAGCGTGCCCTTAAACAGTGTGGACGTGGGCTAGTTTGTTTATGATTCGCAAGCGTGCGTGTGGATGGGTGGGTTACGTTTTACGTATTGTGTACTGTATAACACGTTTGTGTTAAAGCCCAGTAAATACTTAATCCAATTTTCAATTAATCTGTTTCTAAATAATGTGTTGGAAGGGACACATTTTTTTTGCCCACAGCTGCGAAACTGCCAGAAATTAAAGCCCTGAGGTGGCTTTCTGTATTTACAAGAGCCGTGTACATAATTTTCCACAAAATGCCTACTAATAGGATAACGACTCTTTTTGTTGATAATTATCTTTTTTATTTTGACGCACATAAAGAGAAATCATGTATGAGTATTTTCGTTGGCATAAGGTCTAAAGTAATGTGCTTTTATAGGAATTAAACATCCATTAGACAATGTTTCATACTTCCCCACTCTCAGTCTGGTGGTAATTTGAAGACTATATTTTCATGAGGTCCTTGGGCCAGTTCCGCAAGGTTTAGAAGGTTAACGCTAATTCTTATTTTTGTCTCAATGTTCAACAGTGGTCACACAGGTTAGATCACAGGATCCATCGCAAAAATAGAATCCTTTTTTGAGGAAAAACAATACATCAGATTCAATTAGTCCTCGAAGCTAAATTTGTAATTCCGAGCCAACCGAATGTGTGTTTCCTTCTGTGTTTTGTATACTATAGGCCGTATTGGAGCTCTGAGGTCTGATGGAATACGGCGCGATTGTACTAAAAATACAATGGTTATTGTAGTTTTCCCATTGTTCAGAACTGCAGCGATATGCTGCTGACTAACACTATCAAAGTGCTATTCGAACTCATATTGCTAAAGATATGTGTCCCCTCGTTGTATCATCCTGATGGCTCACAGCTCTGTCTTTCCGCTCGCAGGTTTGGTTCCAGAACAGACGCGCTAAGTGGAAGAAAAGGAAGAAGACCACCAATGTTTTCCGCTCACCGGGGACACTGCTCCCCACCCCGGGCCTGCCTCAGTTCTCTGCCGCGGCCGCCATGGAGAACAGCCTGTGCTCCTTCCACGCCAACGACTCTCGCTGGGCCACGGGGATGCCGGGTGTATCACAGCTGCAGCTCCCTCCGGCCCTGGGCCGTCAGCCGGGCATGCCACAGTCCCTGTCACAGTGCAGCCTGGGTCCGGGCCCGCCAAACTCCATGGGTCTCTCCAACGGCCTGTCCTCCAACGGCCCCGGCCTGCAGTCCCATCTCTACCAGTCGCATTTCCCAGGAATGTCGGCCTCGCTCTCCGGCCCCACGAACGTATCGGGTTCCCCGCAGCTGTGTAGCTCCCCGGACAGTGACATGTGGAGAGGGACAAGCATCGCTTCACTGCGGCGCAAAGCGCTGGAGCACACAGTGTCCATGAGTTTTACTTAGTGACTTCTCAAAAATATCTCCAACCCTCCTACAAAGTCCCTCGTCTTTCTGTTTTTATTCCCGCTATTTAGATCAAAACGAACGAGCCAATCAGGCCCGAAATATGAGAACATGGAGAGTGTGTGACTTCGTCTTGAAAGGACAACACTGATGGACAAATGGGGAACATAACTTGGGTTTGGGGTAATTTATCTTGTTAATTCAAAGGATTTTATCAACTATTGATGATGAATACTATTGTAATGATCTTTAGACTATAGGCCCTAATTACTGAGAGCCAAACAATCGTCGTATTTACGTTTTCACTGAGTGCGTCTTTACGCACACATGTTATTGTGTTCAGGTGAAGTTGTGTTATGTCAAACGGTTATTTATAAAGATGGGGTATACAGCCTGCCACACGCGCACCACACTGTAGTGGGCCTATTGAAGTGGGTCTCAGGCATGCACTGTGCACGTGGATTAAAACGCTTGAATGACTTCGAGAGTCAATGGTGCCCACTCAGATTGAAGAGGCTCTTTTAGACGAGCTCTCTCTCTCTCTCGTCTGCATCAAATCTAAAGGGAAAAAAATAAACAATGATCTCTCAGTAGGCCTACTCTGTTTTAGGATGTTTTGTGTAGATAAAACATTCTTGCTATGTACCCACTGGTCTTTTTTGTGACATGTTTTAACTTATTGTATGTGCTATTCCTTACACATTTCTTAAATGTTTGATCTTACATCAAAATGCACCACATTGACGGGTTTGTAACGATTTCAAATGAACAAACAAATAAAAGTAATTTTCAAGAATGTCAACACAAGAATGATTCATGATTCTGTTAAACTTAATAATGACCATTTTTGTTTCTATCGGCACTTTGATAACACTATTGTTGACCTACCCTTGCAATGGGTGGTTGATGGTATTTTATTTCTTGTTGTGATTCCAATATTCCTGGGTAAATAGGAAAGTAACAAAATAGGAAAAAAAATGTTTATTTTTTTGTTGTTGTATTTATTTTACAACATTTTATTTTTACCGAGCTTTTTATAGCAATTCAGCTGCTAATTCAGTTTAAGGTGTGTTTTTCCCACATTAGTATAGTAGATTGGCAAATCGTTTTTTTTCTCAGTGACCTACATATATATTAACAAATGAATTTCCTCAGTGAGTGAGGTGACAGGGCTAAAGGGCTTCTGGGTGTAACTGGTCTCATGGTGGCCGACAGCAGCGCTAAAGATGTCAGTGCTGAGATGTGACGGTCACTGATTTTAACCATGACGGTCATCCCACTGAGAGGACTGGATGGACTGTGACTGAACAGGAGGGATCACAGGCCTGTGATGTGAGTCCATGTCTACAGTAGCCAATATACCTGTTTCTCCAGCTGTGATTTTAAGGCTAAGGTTGGTTGCTATAATCTTATTACTTAGGCCACCTGCTGAAGCAGAAATTACATTGATGATTAGTTTAGAAATAAACTTGTTGGGATATGTACTTTGCTTTTGCCAGAGGAGATGAAAATGCAAGGCTTCCTTGTGCGCGAAGGACTGTTTAGCCTATAAATAACCTTATCAATAGACTATGGATGCCAGTCTATTGATGGGTATTTAGTCTGTAGACATTAGCCTCTGCAGGTAAGCCCTCATTGGAGGTTGCTAAAATGCCAAAAGGCTTTTTCTACTTATGAAAAACAGGACATCCACATTAGCTACAACATTAAAGTAATCTAATGAGTCTATCTTCAAATTTAAGTCAAGTTACTGATGATTCTTTGGTCCATTTTTATAAAATATGCTCTTCTGCTTTATTCTTCGTCCAGTGTACTTCTGCGATTATGACATATTCACACAAACAATTTTACTTGCAAACACACCCCTGCATTTTTATTACATTAATTTCCCAAAAATGTAAAAGAGTAATACACTTAGCAAGATATGATGAAGAATAGACCTATCGTCCTCTCATAGGACAAAAAAATCAGTTTGTTGATGCAGCTTTCTGGCACTAATCAGTCAGCATCCCAACAATGTGATGAGCACAAGCAATAATCACAATATGAATTAAATAAATCAGTGATTAACCATGTAGACCACTGATTTATGCCTTTGCCCATTTTAAAGGAACCATCGGGTAAAATGTATAAACTAATATGTTCTATTCACCATATTTCTGTATTGGCATTTCAATTGGCTGTGGTGTCTGTAAAACAAAAAGTTTTCACGTCAATCAGTCATGTGTTTTTAAAGTAATCGAAAAGAAATACAATTATGAATCCAAACTGACACATAGTTTTTCCTGAAGTTGGTAAACTGACATATTATCATTGTTCTTTTGTTATAGTTAAGAAGCTTGTGTAGTGTACAGGCATCACATACAAAGATTAAAAATACAAATTATTTAGAAGTTGTTGTTTTTTTTTACCTTTTGATCATTTGACATTTATTCATAATCTCTCATTACTTGTCCATCAGTTCCTTAATAAGAAAAACCTTGTTGTGGTTACTTTAATTTAAATTATGCTCATGTGAGAGGTAATGTCTGTAAACTCAGCTCCCCCAGAAGCAAATACAAATTTTCCATTATGAAAGTGAGAGGACCTCACTGTGTGTGTCAAAGATTATAAGTGTCAACTGTAGCCTGAAATCACAGCAGCTCAGATTACTCAGTGTGTTAACCTCATCTCGCTGTCAGCGCTGAGGCCAATTTACGGTCACGGGACGCTAATTGATGAGATATGGCATTACCATAAGCAGTCCCAGTGCCTGTAAACTTCTAATTGGACTTTCTGTAACAATGCAGGGGGGTTAAACAAAGGATTAATCATAATTAACAAAAGTATATTACTTTCCCATATTAAACAGTTGGTTCCCACCTTTTCTATTAACGTACATTTGTTTGCAGTGATTTAGCGAATTATTGAAAATACCAACACAAGTCAAGACCCTGAAAAAAACATTTATTCCTCTATGTGCTTTCCCCATTTTGTGTGTGTGTGTGTGTTCGTGTGTGTGTGTGTGTGTGTGTGTGTGTGTACATACACTATGATCACACTGTGGTTACATTCACACATTGACTCTGAGCAGGGGATGTTGTGTTGTTTAACAAACTGGAATAAGCCCAATTACAGCAAATCAAGGAAGGAAAAACTTAGGTTATTAATATATAATCTTTTTTTCATTAAATGACTTAATATTAAAGTTTATGTATAGTGTTTAGACTTGTTGTTGTGTAACCCACCTTACTTTTGGATTCAACAGCAGAACTTTCCCTACATTTGACAGAAATGTTCAGGATTAGAGGGCAAAAAGCGATATATAATTATTCTTGCTTTAATGACTTATTACTTAATGATGGTCCCTAATTTTTCATAAACTTTATATTTGCCTCCACATCACCCACCCAGCTCTGTCCTAGCCCATCATGTTTGCAGACTGAATGCAGGCTGCACACCTACCCTGCCCAGGCATGTAATTACACAATATTGCATGACAACAGTTGATCAAACGTTCAGCCAAACTGACTGCAGCTCCACCCATCCAGGCTGGAGCTGCAGCGGTGGCAGCCTCTGAGTGTGTGTGTGTGTGTGTGTGTGTGTGTGTGTGTGTGTGTGTGTGTGTGTGTGTGTTGTTCTCATAAGTGTATCTCTATGTGTGGCTCAGCCCTCCAGATTCAGGCCCTGTGCTGACTATAGTGTGTCCTGGCCTGCAGTAACAGATGTGAAATCACATTACCCAAACGCTGCAATTAGTCTCACTCGCTCGTGGGTTAATGAGTTTGTGGAAATGTGCGACCCATTCCTCATTAGGTAATTTCTCATGCACTGATGAGAGAGAGAGAGAGAGAGATGTGGGGATGGCGACTTAGTGAAAATGGCATATAGTCTGCTGTGACACACATACTGTATGGCAGAATGCAGCTGGACACTTACTTATCACTTTATCCTGAAGCATGCTGCTCTGTATGAGAATACCTGTTACGTGAATGGAACAAAATCTGATGTCTTGTGAATTAGCATAAACTTAAATAACAGATGTTTTGTAAAGTAGTATTGCAGTTGAAGTAGTTGAAGAAGAGATTGTAGCATCAAGGAATTTTATTTCAGTGTGTATTTAAAAAGTTCCCCATAAACAAACAGTGTTTAACAAATCAAGAAATATTTGTGTAACAAATAAAAAAGGAAATAAGACTCTGTAAGCTTAAGTTTGAACTTATTATACTTAACTTTGACCAATTTATTACTTGAAGATTGCCCCTTTTTATTGGTTGACTGTGCAATAACAAAACAAAATGGAAAAAAAAAAAAATCAAACAAGCAAGTCAAAAGGACTGAAACATTTCACACAAAGGACAAAATGAAACTAAAACTAGAGTTTCACACTTTACATCATAGATATTAGCCAAACCTTGTTTTTTAATTCATTTACCTGCTGATTTGAAAAATATTAAATGTAAAATGTGAACTCCACATGTGAAATGTGAAAGGGAAAGATTTGCATGAACCCTCCTGCTTCAAGATACAACGAGGTGACAGATAAATGAAGAAATGCTGTTGGAGAATAATCAATCAATCAATCATTATTTGTACAGCGCCAATTCGGAACAAATGTTATCTTGAGACACAAAAGCATGTAACAGACCCTTCTCTTATATTATCTACCAACATTCATCCATCATGAGCACTATGCAACATTTAGCAGAGTTACAGTGGTAAGGAAAAACGTTCTTTTAACATGCAAAAACATCGAGCAGACTCATGTTGAATAGCCGTCTGCCTGAAACTGTGTTGGGCTTGAGAAGTATGACAGAGAGAGATGCAGAAAGAAGGAGGAGGATGGACGAATTGAGTAAAAATTTGTTTTACTGTCAGTCTTAAATTTTCTACAAGGGTAGCATCCCGTACTGCTAAGCTTTTGGTCTTTAGAGCTTGATCCCAAACCTTCTGGACTTGGTTGAAGCTCTTGAAGACCTTTCACCTATCCTCCTCTTCTGAACTTTTAATCGTTTAATCTGAAGCCATAATCAGTTTTTATCGGTACAGTAGTAGTAATGGTGCGTTGTTGCTATAACAAGTGGAATTAGATGCCGGCCGTGTGCATTTAATTCAGTCACCGCTAAACAGCAGATAAGCATCTCCTCTTTATTATTGTCATTATTGTTTTTGAACACACATGCTCCTAAGACCATACAGGCTCTCTTTAATTTGAAACAGCCGATTGATTCAGACGGGGAGTATGTTTTGTAGAGCTTTGTTCATAATCAGTGCGGTTTTAAGATCAACTACATCACAAAATATTGCAGCATGAAAATTAATTAAAGCTGTCTGTTAGGGTAACATCAGTCTGTCTCATTATGGACCTCCTTTCCTCTTCTCCTGGGTGTGTGTGTGTGTGTGTGTGTGTGTGTGTGTGTGTGTGTGAGTGAATAGACAGCCGGGGGCAGAGCTCTGTCAGGACACAATGGACGACAACAAAAGAACTAATTAGCAATCAATTACCGACGTGTTTCTGTCCTGCACCTTTTATCTGGTTAGAGTGCGTAGCAGGTTACCACTCAGCATGCACCATTCACACACACACACACATACACACACACACACACACACACACCACCTGCTGCCTGTGCATGTGTGCTTTCAAGTGAAATTGGATTATTTCAGGGATGTATGTGGTCACCTGGTGATACGTGTTTAATGCAAGAGAATGTAACCTCCCATTTAAGAGTTAAAGGTGCAAGATCTTCAAATTAACCCAATTAAGGCCTTGAGAATAAGCTGTTTTTTTCTCCGTGTCTGCACCTAC